AAAAATGAAATTACTTTGAAACGTCTCTCACCAAACTCAGTCCGCTTCGAGATAAAAAGCCTGCAGAAAACTGATGAAGGGGAATATGAATGTACTGCAGTCAACTTAGAAGGTGCTTATGATGGAGAGTATTCTGCTAAGACAGTCGTTAAAGGTAATCAATCACCATCCTGATTTTCAGTCATAACGCTTGAATGTATCTTCATGTAGGTACGATACGGACTATGTCAGAGCATTCATGACTTTTGATTTCTCTGATGTGGTTTCATAGTGATTGAAGACTCCCTGAGTGTCTCATCCTCTGCTTTCACACCACTGAGCTTGAACGAGGGTGAAGCTCTTACTTTAACATGCCTGGCCTCTAGCAGCACCAGCCAGCACACCCATCTGTCTGTTGCCTGGTATCTCCATAAAGATGGACAGGAGGACGCTCAGCCTATCATTTCTCTGAATAGAGATTTTACACTGAGCCCAGGCCAGGGGTTTGAAAGGCGTCACCAAGCAGGTCTCATACGCTTAGATAAATGGGGAGAGGCCTCGTACAGCCTAAAGATGGCTGAGGTTGAGCCATCAGACCAAGGTAGGTTCTACTGCCAGGCTCAGGAGTGGATCCAAGATCCTGATGGCTCCTGGTACATCATCATACAGAAGAATGCAGAAGAAATGGCCCTGACAGTTAAAGCCACAGGTGGGAATTTTACTCAGTCATGCTATATTTATAACACATCTTGATATTGGTCAGCACATTAAATTTATTTATCCTATAGACACCTGTGTGGATGTCTCACTGTTTTCATTTTTTATCTTGAGTAGAGGTGGTGGAGCCATCGTCTCCGTCTCTGGCAGTGGAAATCTCAGCACAGCCAGCAGCACTGCAGGAGGGGCAGGAGCTGATGCTGTCCTGTAATATAAACACACAGGACGTGGAGAAAAGATTCTTCTCTGTAGCATGGCTCAAGGGAAGTGTGGAGCTGGCCCGCATTGGTCCCACAGGCGTTCTCACTGTGGCACCGGAGTACAGTGTTCGACAGAAAAATGGAGAGCTCAGAGCCGCCCG